CAGAGAGGCGTGCGTCCCCCGCCGCGCGAGCCGTGATCACGGCCACCTGGCAAGGAGTGGCTCAGAGACCCCCTCGGCACCGAGTGCCTGCTGCAGGCCCTAATGCAGTGGGATGAGAGCTGGGGGCAGGATAAGGGGATACAGAAACCCACCGTGACTGCTTCATTGCGGGGAGAAACTCCCCCTCGCCCCGCCCCCACATGCCCCCGCCGGCTCGATGGGATGTAAATAAACATCCCAGCACAGCTCTCCTCCAGCTGTTTGTGAAATACCTGAGCTGGTGGGCTTCCCGGTGGGTTGGAGGAGCTCAGGGGACGACTCTGGGTGACTGCAGCCTCCATCCCTGTGCAGCACTTCCTTGGGAATATGAATGCAAAAAACACCCACTTTTTCCCCCATCCCTTCAGGCTGCAACTTCCCAGCGCAGCCGACCACCCCGGACCACCTCCTCCATCCCCCTGCGACCTGCCTCCTCGCATGCAGCTCTTCCAAACACAGCCCCTGCGGGGCAGACAGCCTGAACCCCCGTGGGCCCCCCGCCCCACGGAACCCCAAAGCAGGGAGGTGAGGGCAAAGCATTCCCCAGGGCCAAGCGCTGGGGCTTAGCAGCCGCTGGGCAATGCAAGAGCTGGAGCTGCACCCACTCGCTCCCATCCGCACCCACTCGCTCCCATCCGCACGCCAACTGCACTGACAGTGAGCCACGAGATCAATTCCAGAGTCTTGGGGCAAAAAACAGAGGGAATTTTGGCCATGGCTACAATGCCCAGTGGGGATGGAGGTGGATCCGGACCCAGGACCAGCTCTGACCAGCTCAATCCCAGCAGCCAGGAAGAAAAGAGGGATGAGAGATGACCAGCTCTCACTGGACACCAGCACAGAGCTGCCCCTGATGCCATCGCCCAGGTGCATGACACACATCGGCCACCCCCACATCGAAGCTTGCTTGGACCAGCTGCAAACTAACTGAACATTTACAGGGATTGACCTGGCAGTGCCGTTTTCTATAAAAAAATACATGGAGAGAGCTGCAAGGGAGCCTGACCGACAGCTCACACGCTGCAGCTGAGCCTGGGGAGCATGTGCACGCTCGCAGGACAAGTTTTGGAGGAAAAACAGACCCACAGGCACCTGCCCAAGGAGATGCTCTCAGCATCGGACACCCCAACGCACAGACTGGCTCTTAAAAGGGAAAAAATAATCGGTTCAACGTGCACCGATCGATAAACCCAGCTCTTGCCAACGCACAAAACCCAGCCCGGCCGGGACCAGCCCCCCACGACCCCGCGCTCCCATCCTCTCCCTCCGCAGCTTCGGCACGCCTGCGTTTTCCCATGGCCCCAGCGCGGTCAGTTCACCCTATCTGCAAACATTTCCAGCTTGCCTCGGAGTTCTTCAAAACCCGAGGAAAACAGGAAATGATTCAACCGGCCGAAGAGGGTCGGATCCGCGTGACCTCAGAGGATGCCCGGGGCTCTGCGCAGTTAGGAAAAGGGGACATGTCTCGCAAGCAGAAGGGAATGCGCCTGGGATCACCTATTTGGGTTTAAAAAGGACATTTTTTAGACCACTTTCCTATTGCTCCATTTTTACAGGGTCAGAGCTCCAGCAGCAGCATGAAAGCACCGAGAAAATCACCCGGAAAGAGCCGCGTTGTAGCTGCTGTCCCAGCGTGGGGATCCCCGGGGGACACACCCCAACAGGGCCAGTCCCTCCGCCTTCGGGGGATCCCCCGGGATCACCAGTGAAACCAAATCACTCCGTGAATAAACCACGCAGGGGAAGCTCGTCTGCAGGATCCCTTTGGCTGCGTAACTGGTGCCGTTGTCCTACGTGGGCTCGCTCTGCTCCCACCACAAAACCTCGGATCCAAGGTCCTTAACTGAAATGAATTCAAGATATTTGCTTTAAATAAATACATAAATCCCAATTCAGCATCTGTTCTGAGCAGAAATCCTTAGGCCAAACTGCTTATCCTCCCGCAGAGATGATCCAGGGGCTTTCACTGGGCTCTTAAACCTCCCAACTAACGCAATCCTCGGCCACCGGCAAAAACGGGTCTTGGCCCACGACTCCGCAAAGCTCCTTTCTGGGATTCAGCAAACACCGACGCTCCCCTCGCTTCGCCCAGCCCCGAGCACATGCTCAAACCCTTTGTGCTTACGTTCACACGGAGCTGCTCCGGCTCTTGCCAGCTCTGCTATTTATTTTCCTTTCGACCCGTGCCAACGTTTCCCTGGTTGTGTTCTGGGAAGATATTTCCTAAGCTCCCAGGGGAATTTTGCCTTTGTGAAAGCCAAGCCCTGTGACGAAGCGTTTCCCTGCGAGAGTGGCACATTATCTGGGCTCCCCAGAAACCCCCCCAACACCCACCCCCGCAGAAACACCGGTATTGCTCCGGAGGAGCCTTCGCCGCCCTTTCACACGCCGAGACCGTAACAGCCAGTTTGGGTAGGTTGGAATCATAGGTGTACTACAAAACTCAACTGCATTTTTGTCCATTCGCATGCAAAAAAAAAAGGAATGGAAATGAAGGAAATGTTTTTCCCTAGGAATCCAGATACCACCAGTGGCCACGGATTTCATAATCTGGATTGAGGGCACGGCATGGCACACTGCACCTACAGGCATCGCTGTCTCTACCCATAGACACTGCTTGGATGACAAACTGCAACTGCCACACCAAGAGCTGCCGCCTGGGGCAAATTATCGTTTTAGAAGGGAAAAGGTTTCGGAAACGCTGCTCAAGCTGGTCCATTTAAAAATGCACAAACAAGACATTAAATAACAATGAAATGCTTTCAATTAAAAAAAAAACAAAGTGGTTGGGTGTTGCCAGCTCTCACAATCTCACGGCAACTCCTGCAGCATCCGATTGTGTTTTTCCCTGAGATTTCTGGTGCTGCTGCTGGAACCCAGGGACCCCCAGGGATACCACTTGGCTCACCGGGGACCCCCGGCTCACCGAACATCACAGGCTTCACGGCACCCCCGTGCAGATCCCAGGACCGTTCCCATTTTTTACATCTGGATGATCAAGCTGCCCATGTCAGACCCGCAGGCCATCACCGCTGACCCGGCCCCAGGCTCTGGATGGGGCTGCCCCCATGACCCTCCCCCCCAGCTAGGCCCATCTTCCCAGAGGGCCTTAGGTAGTCTAACTCAAACTACCCTGTGCCTTCAAACCATCGCCCCAAGCCTGACTCTGAGCAGGAATAGGGATGAAAAGGGCT